CTGAAAGCCACTGAAAATATCGATGTTTTGATTCCCAAAACGCATGGGTTGCCGCGAAAGACATGGCCAGCAATCGAGGACATCTGAGAGTTGTAATTTTTGTACTCCGCCGAGGTGTGATTTTTGGCATGCTGGGCCAAGCACAAGGAAGCCATCTGCAAAAAAACTGCAGAAAATGGTTGTTGTTTGATCCTTTGGTGTAATCTTTGTTTCTAGTCGAAGCTAGTTTGCTGTTTGGAGCAGAAACGCTGAAATTGACTATTTTCTGCATGTACTCATACATGTACTCATGTACTCAGGCATGCAGTCTCACTCGTATTTTAGCTCGTTTTCTGGAATGAATGCTGCTCTGCGCCCCTTGGTGAACCTTTCCTGCGCTCGTGGAGCAGCTGAAAATGACCACTGGTATGTCTGGGACATGGTTTGAAAGTGGAGAGTCGACCTTTGTGCCTTGGAAAAGGAGTAGAGAGCGATAAAGGTACGTCTGTGGCGTATTTTTGAGTACTCCTCGTACATTTTTGATCGTGATAGAAATTCTCAGACCAAAGTCAGACCAAAGTCAGCGCGATGATGGCCGTACAGTTTTCTTGTAGATTTTTTAGTTGTTTCATCTCGTATCTATGTCAGTATCATGATGGTGAAGTGGAGAGGGTGATTTTCTTCCTCTAGGCTTCGTTCGGCCGACTTTGCTTCGTCCTCGTTGAAAAGTGATCCTGAAAAAAGGTCGATTCGCAAAATTATGTTGATTTTCAATGTACGTGGTGACATGCGATTGCTGGCTATGAATAGAGAAACCCGCGATGCGCATACGTCATGTTTTCTACACGCGACAATTGTTTGTCCGAGCGCGCGCGCTTCAGGCTTCGCCCTGGCGATATCTATCCTCACGGACACAAAACGTTGTGATGAGTCGATAGCCAAGGTCTTCCTGAAGACGTAGAGTGGTCGTTTGTAACTCTCCTGTGTGTAGAAGTGGAGATACGAATTTATTTGTACTCACATACTCAGTCTGGGCGACTAAAGTCGCCCGTGGCACTGAGAGGGTTAAGTTTGTGATAACCAAGTTCATGTCCGTGGATGACTGTACGTCTTGTATGTACATATCTTGCTGGCAATGTTGAAGATTGTTTTCAGTAACGTTTCACACAGGTTAATCACTCCGCTACCTCTTCGCTCGGAAAGTGGCGAGAGCCAGTGTGCTGTGTATCGTTGGGCGGTTCACAGCTTCGGCGTTCTGAAACTTTTGTCTGCTTTGACGCGTAATGCTTACATAGTATGAGATGTGGTGCGTCTGCCCAGTGTTGACTCCGAGACCCACGGTCGGACGAGCTGCTCGGGCCTCACCACCACTGCCGTTTCTGTGCATTTTTGAGAGTTAGCTTGCATAGGAAAATTAAGGAAAATTGTGGCCTATCCGCGAAAATACTGTGTCTTTTATAGGGCGACTGGTGTACATGGCAGTGGTAATACCCCATGCAAGTTGTCAATAGTCATTGATAGTCACTAAGACAGTAAAACCTGTGACTAACGACCACCCCTTGGTGCCAGCAAAAGCGGTCTTTAGTAGCAGGTGGCCTTCAGATAGAGGTTTGTACCGCGTGACCATATATGGATCCTGGGTATACCCACTTATATGGATCCCATTATATGATATGGGCCACGATCAGCTAAAACATGTCTTTGGGGTTTCGTAAAAAACGTTGAGAAATGACGAAATGAAAAGAAATGTTTTTTTCGAGCGCGTTCACTCTACACGTCGTCTTCGTTCATGATGTGGCGATCACCTTCTCAAATTTTGATCAAACACTTTACTTGTTTGGTGGTCTAGTTCAAGTAGCTGGCGAGCAAAGACTGACAATGTTCGTATCTAGTGACACTAGAGCAGCTCGCAGGGCCAGACTATCACTGTGCATGGCCCAGATTTGGTCAAGTGTCAGCAAGTCCGTGGCGGCGGGTCTGCAGAGCGACGCTGACAATTTGTTGGGATCTCAGTGATGTTGATGTCGACAGCGAAGCTGAATCGTCCCCGTCGTCTCCAGTAGCGAAGAGGCACAAGTTGTGGGCGAGTACATAATCATTACGCGGCGAACCGGCTGCCTTACGACGTTACTTGCCATTCAGCTCGCATGAGTCGTCTGACGCAGTCTCGAAAGCGCAGGCGACGATCGAAAGTGTCACTTCCAGAATCGAAAGAGTATGCCAGTGCAACGCCTCCCAGAGCATCGTGGTGCTTTCCAGGAAGAACTTGGGCCATGCCTTTGAACTGATGTCGTTGACATGCTCAAGTCTGTGTCAACATCTTTAGTTCCGTTGTATTGTGCTCTGCCACAAAAGCCACTAAGTACAGTGTAATAGTTTGTCTCTTCGTGTCAGACTGCGCGAAAACTGTCATTTTCTATTTCAAAGTACATATTTTGAAAGCGGTGTTTCGAGCACTTGTAGACTACTTTTCTGCCCTGTATCACCTTCAAGAGGTCAAGTAAGGTCCCAAGAACTGTTTTCTGGAGGAAAACAAAATTTGAAAAATTTCACTCTAAGAGACATGTTTTAGCTGGTTGTGGCCCATATATATAATATGTCAAAATGCAGCTAATACAATTCCCCAGGACTTGCGTTGTTGTGTATCGGTAGAAAGACTTTTCATGGCTCTTTTTGTTGTGGTCCTTTCGTTTATTTTGGTTTGTTTTGCGTTCTGCTTCGACTTGTTTTGGTTGCATGTATAGTTTGTACATGATCCAAGTAACGGTTACGTCATTGTCATACGTTGTGTTTTGTTGCGCGCATGCTCGTATGCTGCCATAAATGTTAGTCTTTTTCTTCAGTTTTCAGTTTACCTCGTCGTGTCCGGTCTTCTTGTCTGTCCGTCTCGTCTTGTCAAGAAATTATGTAGAACTCTCAGTTCAGTTTCGTTGTTGTGTGTGGCGGGTCGGATGGGCAGGGAGGCTGGGCCCCTGACGCCTGGACAACATGTGCGCGTGCACAAAATTTGGCGATCACGCCAGGATTGTCAGGGAGACGAGGAACTGGAAGGAACTCCGGTGCGAAGGAAAACGCATCGTGAACAAATCACCGAAACGACGTCGTCTGAGCTGAAGGCGCTGAGCGAGGAAACGTCTGCGAGGAGTGGCTGGCTCGTCGGAGCTGAATGCGCTGAGGGCAGATGAAATGGATGAACATCTGCGAGGAGTGGCTGGTCCGTCGGAGTTGAATGCGCTGAGGGCAGGGACGTCCCGCGAGGTGGCTGGTGAAGACGACGACTCGGAGGTTGGTGCGACGGAAGTCGTTGGAGCTGAATGCGCTGAGGGTAGACGAAGTCCGATAAACGTCTGCGATGAGTGGCTGGTTCCTACGACAAGGACGGTGCGAAGGAAAACGCATCGTGAGCAAATAACCCCATGTGAGTGTGACGCGGAGTTTAGAAGGTGCTCCTGCTGTGATTTGTTGACTAGTTTGATTCGATTTGTTTTGAGTGGTTTGGTTTGCTCGATTTGTTTGTTAGTTCGAGTTTGGTAGTTCGGTTTGCTCGATTTGTTTGAGTTTGATTTGTTTGTCCCTGGTCGGATGTTGACTTTCGTTGTAGTTTTGTTGGCGTGTCGATCGTTTATTTGTTTATTTGTTGCCTCTTGTAGTTAGCTTGATTAGTACGCTTGCGGCGTATACTCGTAGGGCACAGTGTTCGCAGTCCTCGTAGAACCCTGAAAAGGTCTTTGGTGGGGAATATGTTGTGTATCGGTAGAAAGACTTTTCATGGCTCTTTTTGTTGTGGTCCTTTCGTTTATTTTGGTTTGTTTTGCGTTCTGCTTTGACTTGTTTTGGTTGCATGTATAGTTTGTACATGATCCAAGTAACGGTTACGTCATTGTCATACGTTGTGTTTTGTTGCGCGCATGCTCGTATGCTGCCATAAATGTTAGTCTTTTTCTTCAGTTTTCAGTTTACCTCGTCGTGTCCGGTCTTCTTGTCTGTCCGTCTCGTCTTGTCAAGAAATTATGTAGAACTCTCAGTTCAGTTTCGTTGTTGTGTGTGGCGGGTCGGATGGGCAGGGAGGCTGGGCCCCTGACGCCTGGACAACATGTGCGCGTGCACAAAATGCGTAATGTCATTCTTATTTCAGGTCAAACAACACTTGGAGAGAAAGATGGAGAGATGGACAGAGAGAGAGAGAGAGAGAGAGAGAGAGAGAGAGAGAGAAGATTAATTTTTTGCAGACTTCAAATTAAGCTGCTACTTCTGAAGCCAGGAGTCAAACGTTCCCTGGGGAAGTTTCGTTTGGCGCTGGGCTTCAAATTTGTTCATGCGATCAATCGAACCGACCGTCCTTGTTGTGACTCCTCAATCGCTTGAACGTGATCCTTCAGCATCAGGACCTTGTGGTGCTGCTTTGTTTCTGGATTCCTTGATGCCAGCGTCGATCCATCTGTATGACTGGGGTGACAGAGCCGCCCAGTCTTCGTTTCTCCTCCGAGTAGTAACATCGATCAGAGAGCGCTTTCGATGCGCTCTCCAAGACGTTTCCTATCATGTTTATTCTTGACAGCGCTTGAAATTTTGACAGGTGTAGTACAGTCCACACCGACTCCACGGTCAAAATTACCTGCGTTCATTTGTTCAGCTGTAGTATCGAAAGATTCCTTTCAGGACCATGGAAAATCAGCAAAATTTCAAGAAGGAGCTTCGAGCAACATTTGATTTCCCACATCGCGGTCGCTAGTTACGGGTCAAAAATCGTCGACAACTTTCACACCAAGGTTCAACTCGAGTTCAACTCGAGTTACAGGACTGCACCCAAAACAGGTCAAACACGCTAGTAAGTTTTACCCTGCAGGCACGGTGACCAGGTGACTGGTGTACGAAGGAGCACGTGACCGCTTGTTCAACCATGTTCGATTGGGAAAAAAGGAGGAACGCTGCATCGCAGCCTTTTCGGACCAAAACCAGTCGACTAAGCGTCCCAAAGACTAAAACATATGGGCCAATCGCGGTCATCCGTGCTTTTATAAGAACGACATGGCGCTTTTAGTGACATTTTGCATACAAATCCACATCTAGTAGGGCGCAGTCACCCAGTTTCGGTGGAAGTGCGCGAGTTCGATTGGGAAAAAAGAAGGAAGGGAGCGTCTCAGCTTCCTCGGACCAAGACCATTCGACTCAGCACCTCGAAGACTACAACTGGTGAACATTTGATTTTAGCCTTAACTTCCCCTTTAACATGTACGGCGCTGAAGTGCCTCTCCCACGGAAAAAATCTGGGCTGAAGAAATTGGCGCTGACGTGTCCTGCGCTTTAAATTTCGCGCTGAAATCATTGCCGCTTTCCAGACACGGCGCTGAAATGGCACCGAGCTGAAATGCCTCGCGCTAAGGCGGTCGCGCTGAAGTGCACCGCGCTAACATGGACGCGCTGTCGCAGGAGGTTACCGGATAAAGGAGGACCGACCGGATAAGCGAGGTCTGACTGTATCAGTCATGACATTTTGTAAGGGAATCCAAGTTTCTGAGAACGTTACCAGTGTGTACGTGTGCGTATGCACATGTATATGTAGGACTCAGTATAGAGTCCATGCACTATATGATGTCCACCACCCTATATGGAGTCCATTGGTCCAAAATCCACTATACAGAGTCCAGGAGTCCACTCAGTTTTGATCAGCTTCATCCTGCTGCGCAATCCCCTATAAGGAGTACACTTTTTCTACAAGTCCCCTATTCACGGTCCAGGAGTCCAGTTTATCCAGTCACGCCGTCCTGTACTGTGTGTTGTGCCCGAAAGAAGAGAACAGACACCTTTTCAGTTTTGCTTGCCTCATGGCAGCGCATTCCTTCCTTTACTTCAGCCATGGCTGCCAGTTCTGCTGTGTAGTTGCTGACAGTAATCTGTCTCGAGGTAACCAAGGAGGATAAGGAGACGTTCAAAATCAAATCTGGAAAGCGTCTTGTGGTTCTCTGAAGACGTTTCAACGATGCGCGGGATGAAAGCAGAAATTGCAGAACGAGAAAAGTTCAGCACAGTTCAAATCTGACGAGTCAGGTACACTGACACTCTCTTTCGTTCGACGCCACAAGGATCCCCCGTCTGGCTGGCCATTGCTGCCAGTAAGGCGTTTGAACGGTTTCATCAGAGCGAGGGATGAAAGCAGAAAGCGGAGAACGAGAAAAGTTCAGCACAGTTCCAATCTGACGAGTCAGATACACTGACACTCTCTTTCGTTCGACGCCACAAGGATACCCTGTTCTACTGGACAAGAGCTGCCTGTACCACCGTGTCAAAAGGCTGTCCAACTACATGGCAGGACGATGACTGAGGTAAGGAAGCTTTTCTCGTTTCGATTGGTCTGCTGTTCTGTCGTTATGCTTGAATTTTTTCCATTTTCAAGGATCGTATCGCGTTTGTTTGATGTTGCTTGAATGAATGCCCTAAAAGTAATCAACCACTTCGTAATAGTCCTCAAGGACTGCAAGGACTTTGCATCAATCGTATACGATCGTATAGCTATCATCAATTATTATTTTATTTCATGAGAAATGTATTTTTATCCCTGTGATAATTATGTGAACTCCACGACACTCTTCCTCTACTAGGCTCTAGTATGATGTCAAAATGCAATGGGATCCACAAACGCAGTGCCAGTGTACTAGTAGTAGTAGGAGGAGGAGGATTTCTTGTATGCCGATGACAAGAAAAAGCCTCTCAAGCTAATACCAAGAGTACATAACCCCCCAGAGTGTGCAACTCCACTATGGGTGCTGTCCCGACAGAATTTCAAGTTGACGTCATTTTGATGATGCAATGCGCACTGTACACGGATTATCAGACGAATCCGGAACCTGTGGTTGACCGAAGCCGATCGGTCCTGTACAAATTATTGCAAAGAAAAACGTGTGATGCGTTGACACCCGTACACATGTTGTAAATCACTGCTGCAAGGAGCATTGCGTCATAAATAATGACGTCAACTTGAAATTCTGTCGGGACAACAGGATATGTGGGAGTTGCACACTCTGGGGGGTTATGTACTCTTGCTAATACATGTACTCGTATTCCATGAAGTAACCGTTTTGATGTCACAAACATGACATTGTGTCAGTGAAACTGCCTCGTGACAACAAATCATTGCATTTCCATCTTGGGGAAGACTGACTGACTGCAACGCTGTACAGATTGTTTAAATCATCTCATTTCAATTTAGTTGCAGTGAAGTGAAACACTGTGTACACTACATGTATGGCGGTGTGTCTGTGCGTCTTGAGTGTGCACAAACGATCTTATTCCTCGTATTACTAATAGATTATTGTCCCCACCGTCACCTGTTCACAGGTCTTTGTGTGGATGGATTTTCATTGAGCATCACATTCGTTGAGAACTTGGTAGTTGTGTGCTCCCATGCATCATTACGGTAATAAGCGTATCCTTGTGCTATCTATTTGTTGCAGGTGTGCTGATCTTCAGAAGCTTGCGGAACTGAGTGCTGCTGAACATTTGCATGGCCATGAGCAATGGTGAAGCTTGCTATTGCACTCTCAGCATGTGCTAGTATTATGCTGACTACTGCACTATGTTACTCTCTTACACTACTACATGTATGTAAACGTGCGTGCATCCGCCCACGTATGCATTCGGTTCGTATAATTATTTGTTATTCCTCTTGACTTTACGTGTAAATGGGTGGACGTTTGCATGGCTGTTGGAGTTGCGTGTGTATTGTGTCTCTACTCTTTTCTTGGTGTTTTCTTGGCGTTGTATAAATTTGTGTGTGTGTGCGTGCGTGTGTGTGCGTGCGTGTGTGTGTGTGCGCGCGCGCACAATAATTTGAAAACAAATAATTAATCCTTGGCTCTCCATTATTCTCTTTCGATTATTGGTTTTTTCTAGGTATTTTCTTGGCGTTGTGTGGGTGTGTGCATGTGTGTGTGTGCGTGCACAATAATTTGGCAACACTACATAATTGAGATATTGTAATTTGCAGCGTCTGCGAAGAGACCACTTGATTTGAGGATGGTGTTTGTAGGGTTTTTCATGTAATGAAATGGCTGCAGCGGCACCTCAATACTTATTTTATATCTTGAGAAGTAAATGATGTAAAGGATTAAAGGGAGAGGCCGTTTTCTGGTTAATATTCACTGCTTACAGCAGATCCTATGTCTAATTTCGAACTCTGGATAGGGGATGCCTAATTGGCTGGACTTTATACAGGGAGTGTTGTCCACATAAAGACTCCTTATAGTTGATTTCAAAGTTTGGACTCCATACATTTGATTTTGGACCAATGGACTCTATATAGGGGTGAAGCCAATTGGCTGGACTCTATACAGGGAGTGATGTCCATCTAAACTTTGAGCTCACAGTTGATTCCAAGTTTGGACTCTGTACAGTGGATTTTGGACCAATGGACTCTATATAGGGGTTGGACATCATATAGGGGCTGGACGCTCTACTGAGTCCAACATATACGTATGCATATGCACATCTGTTCGTGTGCGTATGCGCATGTATTCGCATGCATATGCGCGTGTATTCGTGTGCGCATACACGTGTATTCGTGTGCGTATGCACGTGTATTCGTGTGCGTATGCACGTGTGTTCGAATGCATATGTATTCGTGTGCGTATGCACATGTATTCGCATTCATATACACATGTATTCGCGTGCGTATGCATGTGTATTCGAGTCCGCATGCATGTGTAATCGTGCGTATGTTTGTGCAAGCATCTGTCTGTATTTTTTTCGCATTATCTCCAACGCAGATGTTGACGAATGCAACAGTGAAACGCATGGCTGTGACTTAAGACTAACGTACTGTCAGAACTCACCGGGCAGCTACACGTGTCCGTGTCGCGACGGCTTTACACAGAACCTGGCCACCGGTGCTTGCACAGACCTGGACGAATGTGCCGGGGACTCGAACAGCTGTGGTAGCAACACGCGCTGCGCCAACACCCTCGGCAGCTACGACTGCCCGTGCCTGACCGGCTTCAACGCCACGCGCGCGCTTGCCGCGTCCGAGCCGCCGCAAGCCGCGTCTCCGTCGCCGCGGTTACGTCAATGCTCGGACGTTGACGAGTGTTCTCTAGGCGTTCACGGCTGCGGCGTCAACACGCAGTGCGCTAACACGGATGGCAGCTATGCGTGCGCGTGCACGGCAGGATTTACCGGCAATGCGGTACGGGCGTCCGGCCGAGATTGCTATGATATTGACGATTGTGAGCTGGGCGTGTGCGATGCCGTTTCGACGACGTGCCGTAACTCCGATGGCGCCTTTAGCTGCAGGTGTCGCCATGGATTCGTGCCGTATGCAGAGAACACGACACACTGCAGTGATGTTGACGAATGTCAGCTGATGATACAGAACTGCTCAGGTAATCCATCTTGATGTAAATTATAATATTATTTCGCTGCCTAGCCTGCTTGGAAACTATAGGATGTCTAAAACCCTCTCTGACACTTTTGTTGTGTTCAAATTGGCCATGGAGCATGAGGTGCCGGTGAAATAATAGAAAATGTGTAACTAAAAATATTGATGTTCATTAGGGCTAGCGGTTGGTGCTCAAGCTCACTGCCTTGCCGTGGAATGTCTCAGTACTCCTTGTCGGTCTGGTGCTACCCTGTGCACGTTTGACTGTTCAAAACCGTGTTTGGTTGGTGGACTCTAGCTCATAACTTGTGCCCCACCGTTTTCCTTGGTTCAGTTTAAAATAAAATAAATTATATCAATTTGAAATAAAATAAACGAGAGAGCTTGGAAGCCCAGGGCCCTACGCTATTCTTTTTTGCCTTGATGGCCTAGACAAAAAAAAGCATAGAGATGTTAACCGCAATCAGTAATACAAGCTGGATCGACATTTGTGTACACTGTATTCATGTATTGTAAAACTGTGGAGACAATGTGCAATAAAACGATGAAAATGTGAAGAAATTGTGTAGAGAAAACACAAGTTCTTCACATTTTCATCGTTTTATTGCACACTGTCTCCACAGTTTTACAATACATGAATACAGTGTACACAAATGTCGATCCAGCTTGTATTACTGATTGCGGTTATCAAATTGTTGTCTCCTCGCCGTTTGTTCAAATAGAGATGTTATTTATTCTTATAAATTTCTGCTTAAAAAAAACATAACCTGGGATTCGAACCCGCACTATCGCCCTGCATGCATCCCCCGATACACTTCGCATACATACTAATAGATGATATGCCAAATAACGTGCAACTAGACTTGAGAGGGCACCGCACACAAGTTGCATACACATTCTACTACAATGTGAGAGCACGGTAGGCCCTGAGCTCTACAGGAATACCAGTCACAGGTAACCGTACAACTTTGAACTTTGTATGCAACTACTCTGCAATGCCCTCTCAAGTCTAGTTGCACGTTATTTGGCATATCATCTATTCTTCCAAGTTGCTTCACGTTATGATCTTGCATTTGAAAGTCCTATTTGAATATGCATTGTGGCCAGCCGTCTTGGATGGTACGGTACGGGACAGATACGGGACAGGTACGGTCGAGGGTAATACGGCACCGTTTACCGCCTTGATGACCTACGCACCAGCCAACTATCGCCCAGTCTCTCTCTTATCCGTTCTATCCAAGGTCATGGAGGCTATTGTCAACAGTCAAATCACCAACTACTTGGAGAGACACTCTGCACTTCCTGACACCCAGTATGGTTTCCGTCCGAACCGGGGCACTGCTGATGTCCTCACGGCGCTGCACAATGAATGGGTCCGCACAGTTGCTGCTGGGGGCCATGCCCAGGTGATAGCAGTGGATATCGCCGGTGCATTTGACCGTGTGTCACATGCAGGGGTGATCCACAAGGCAGCACAAATCGGCCTTGGAGGGAAATTATTGCAGTGGCTCACGAATTACCTCTCGAATCGCCAGCTCAAAGTGGTTATACACGGACAAGCATCAACACCGCTTGCAATCACAGCTGGTATGCCACAAGGTAGCATACTTGGCCCCACGCTCTTCCTCCTTTACGTCTGTGACATCGACCAGTGCCTAACACCAGGCACTAAGCTGAGCACGTACGCCGATGATACTACACTGTACCATCTCGTGCTACCAACTGACGACCCTGCAAACCCCGGACACAGGCTCCAGGGGCCCCTCGACCGCCTCTACCTGTGGGGAGAATCGTGGCGCATCCGCTTCAAGCCACAGAAATCGCAGCAACTGGTGATCAGCACGAGATCAGAAACCCCAGCGCTGGACCCTGTAACGTTTGGAGGTACCCCAGTTGCAAAGACTGAGACCCTTAAACTCCTGGGAGTCTCATTTGATGCCAAGCTGTCATTCCGCAACCACCTCCACAATGTCGCAGTCCGTGCAAGCCAACGACTGGGCTTTCTCCGACGAGCTGCCCACGTCCTGCCTCGGGGCGGCCGCCTGGCAATGTACAAAGGTTTCGTACGCCCAGTCCTGGAGTATGCCCCATTGGTCTGGATGGGCGCCTGCCAGACCCATCTCGATCACCTAGATCGAGTCCAGAGGAGGGCTCTGGACATCATCGGCCCAATCACCCTTCTGGACTCCCTCAGTCTACGCCGCTCGGTTGCTGGCCTCACATACCTGTACAAGCTACGCTCCACTGATGGCCCAGCGCAACTCACCGCAATGTTTCCACCTCCGGAACCGCCACGGCCTCACCCCAAGACTAGACGGCAGCTCGACGCCAGCCGCCACCCTGCCTACCGGAAGCTTGACCTCCCACACAGTGCCCCTAACTACATCCGCCGGTCATTTCCCTTCTGCCTCGTGGAAGTGTGGAACAGCCTCCCAGCAGAGATGCTCGCCAACCTCCAGGTTAAGAAAATGCAGGCGTTCAAAGTGAATGTTCACAGGCACTTGCGCCACAAGCACTGGCTTTGGGCAACGGACAACAACTAGCGCCACCGATAATTCTCTCTCTCTCTCTCTTTCTCTCTCTCTCTCTCTCCCTCCCTCCCTCCCTCCCTCCCTCCCTCCCTCCCTCCCTCGCTCCCTCCCTCCCTCGCTCCCTCCCTCCCTCCCTCCCTCCCTCCCTCCCTCTCTCTCTCTCTCTCTCTCTCTCTCTCTCTCTCTCACTCTCACTCTCTCTCTCTCTCTCTCTCTCTCTCTCTCTCTCTCTCTCTCTCTCTCTCTCTCTCTCTCTCTCTCTCTCTCTCTCTCTCTCTCTCTCTCTCTCTGTCAGGGACCTACGTAAGCTGAAGCATGATCAACCTATATTATTTGCATTTGTGTAATTTCTGATATTCTCTTTCTCATTTCTGTTGCATTCTCAGATGCTCCCATAAGTCTATCATTCATAGTATGCCCCCTTGGCCCGCACAGTCCATGTCGATTCCGAGACCGAAATGGTCGGAGGAGTGCACTGCGCCTGGCCAGCACAGCTCTTGTAGCACCTACTACTCCTTTGTTGTCTTTGTCTCTTTTATTACCCCTATTACTTTGTAGGGATGTGCACATAGTATATATAAAAAAAATAAAAAAGGCAAAACAAACATAAGGATGTTATACATTTTTCAATTCTCCTATTTTTTTTCAGGCATAACCTGGGATTCGAACCCGCATCGCACTATCGCCCTACATGCATTCCCCCATACACTTTCCGGTTACTCTCATTGGTTAGCATTACCATACGGTCTGAAAACTTGTTCTTCTATTGGTCAGTTTAAAGATCTACTATCGCAACTGAACTAGACGCAATAATTATTATCGAAGAACATTCTCGAATACCTGGGTGATGCACGAATTTTGATTGTGCTCACTTCCGTTAATCGTTTTTCTTTGTAATTTTCCATTCATTTTTTTTGCTTTAATTAATATTTGCTTTGTTTTCCTAGCTTACTATTGCCGTGGCTGGCTCAATGCCCTTGTCTCAGGGGATTCTGTCCCTGCATTAGCTATGCTTGTCACATGCTATGAGATTGTGTCTAATAATAATAATAATAACTTCGCATTCATACTCATTCTTCCAAGTTGCTTCACGTTATGATCTTGCGTTTGAAAGCCCTATTTGAATATTTTGGCCAGCTGTATCTGGCCAGCTGTGTTTGATGGTACGGTACGGTACGGGACAGATACGGGATAGCGCCAGGCGTGACACAAACACACACACAAACATACAAACGCCAAATTAAAGCTGTGTGGACCCTGGCTAGCGCCAGACGTTACTGAAGTAACGTCTTCTGCATAGCTACGGGAATTAAGGCTGAATACAGGGTAAGCAACAGCATTTAGCCCTGTACAGATTCTTCCCAACATCAACCACTCCGTAACTGCGCTCTCCAGTCAATCTCGACGCGACGTTGCCACAGCAAACCTCCAGCAAAGCAACACGTCTGTAATTCCTAATACGCAATTCAGTACTAACGGATGGGTCGCTTTGCTGGTGAAGTGCTGTGGCAAAGTGTTGAGGTCGGCCAGAGAGCGCAGATATGTCATCGTGGATGATGAAAAAATCTATTGAGGATGTCACAGTTCTCAATCCGCGGACGGAATTGTTTCGTCCTTTGCGGACTTATCAGCGCGGCACAGATGAAATGAGGCCGAACCAGATAGCAATGAAATATAAAGTTTTCCAATGCCAGATTTAAACCAGGCCCGAATGTACCTTGGCAGAGTGCTCAATCTGACAAGTCAGTGAGCTCTGCGTACTGCAAACAGCAAAGGCACTACCCCACATGAGAGTGCTCATATTAAGGATGTTTCTAACAA